GATGTAATATCCGACTATAAGTCTGTACTCTGAGAATGGGTACATCATTTGGATCTAGATTTGAAGAATCATTGATAAACCTCATTGATGTAATGTCCAACTATAAGTCTGTACTCTGAGAATGGGTACATCACTTGGATCTAGATTTGAAGAATCATTTGCAGACCTCATTGATGTATTAAATATCAATATGTAAGTTCAAGATTCATAGAGAATGAGAGCATCAACTATAGCAACCTAAATAAATGACACACTATTCTTGCACAATAAAGTTAAACATTGAAATGATGTTTTGTTTTATAGATGTAATCCTTATTTCATTCGCTGTGTTAAACCCAACAATGAAAAAGCTGCAATGAAATTTGAGTCAACATTGATCTTGGAACAACTACGCTACTCTGGTATGCTGGAAACTATTCGCATTAGGAAGCTGGGTTATCCAATCAGACTGCATTTCATGGCATTTGCCAATCGGTGAGTCAATGTTTATTTTGCCCCAAATCATGGAAAATGTATCTTTATGCATTTCACTACTGTAACAATTAACTGCAAGGTATAACAATTGCTGATAACTTGATTGTGAATTTATTTTGAATAAATGTACCTTTCTCATCACTAGTATTTCATCCCACTTGTGGGTACTTTGTTGCAAATGAAATTAAATTATTTTTGTTTTTACTTAATGCATTATTCATATCCCATTTTAATTGTACATGTACTTGTGATACATGCATGGTATGATTTATTTGCCTTATTTTGACCTGTATATTTATGATTCATACTGCTACTTCACCATTATAGCTCCTTGACATATTTGGGTCTTATAATGTATATAAATATATGAAAACTATATGCAGTGATGTATACATATTTGACAGGTGTGTGTTTATACACTGCCATTTAGTTGCCACGTATCACCAGTACCTTTCACTGTGTTGGTATGAAGCTCAGCTTATTCATCGTGGGTTGTATTGTTTCTTCCTAGATATCGTTGTCTGATTGGGCCACAATCATTCCATACTCGAACACATCCAAAGGAGATATCATTAGTGATACTGCGTCGAATGGGATCTAAATATGAGACACAGTATCAGCTTGGTACCACTAAGGTTAGTATTTAATACTGCAAGTATAGTGCATTCTTACTTAAATACTGAATTCCTGGTGTAGGAGAAAATGTCTACTGTGGTCAATGATGTAAGCAATATTTATCAAACTGTTTTTATGTTCTTTATATATCTGATATTTTCACTCAGGTGTTCATGAGAGAAGCTCTAGAAGCTGATTTAGAGTATGAAAGATCAATTCTTCTCAAACAAGCTACAATTATTATTCAGAAATATGTACGTGCTTATCTGTCACGTAAACGTTACTTACAAATGAGAAAATCGGCAGTCATCATTCAAAGCCATACCAGAAAGATGATCCAAAAAAGACGATACAGAGACATGAGGAGAGGATTCATCAAATTACAAGCTAGATACAGAGCTAAGAGACAAAGACGTCATTATTTAAGGGTAATTCTGTGAATTCATCTATAATCAGATTTCTCTTGTTTTGCATTGCCATGTACAAAGTGAGAGTAAGGATGGACGTATTCCTTCATCTGCATCTCTTATTTGTTACAATGTGACAATTAATGTATTCACAATTATTACAATTTTTCATTAATCTAAAATAATGAAATACATATTCTTGTGTGTATATTTGTTTAACTTGTGATATTTATCATGTTAACCTTGTAACAAAAAACATGAACATTGTCAGAAGAAATTTATCAAAGTTGTTTTTTTCTGAACAGATACGTGATGAAAACAGAAGAAGACTTGAACAAGAAAAGAGACGACGAGAAGTAGGTGCCTCAAGGCAGGCACAACAAAAGAAGATATCTCCTCTACGAAGGCATTCAGGAGTAGCACATCTTGAAGTTCCATATGAATTAGCATACATCTTCTCAAAGATTGATGGTTAGTTCTCAGTCCAATATATTGTGCTATATTTACTTTATAAAAATTCTATTTACCATATTCATAAAATGTATGAAGAAGCTAAGGTACCAGTGTGTAT